GGCAGTGTTCATTTCCACCAACACTGCCGATTCATAAGACCACCCGGTAGAGTTCAGTTCTAACAACACTATCGGTTTGTGTTTCAACCGGCAGTGTTATAGTAAGAATCACTGTCGGTTTGTGACAAGAACCGACAGTGATGGCTAAGCCAACGCTGCAGGTTTGTGGCTTGAGCCGGCAGTGCCATCACTGCCGGTTTTGTTGATAACCGATAGTGATGTTTACGACAACACTGTCGGTTTTCTGATAACCGGCAGTGATGTCACGTTCGCATTTTATTGTTTTATAATTGATTTTAATTTCTATTTTTTCATGAAATCGGGTTTCGCTTTATATACGCTACGTAGACGACATGTCCATCAATATTAAACATTACAAATGTTACGATTTACAAATTCAAATGTTCTTATCCAGATCTTGATCCCTCAAAATAAAAAAGAAATGTTCTCGAACTTCACAGATTGTGCAATGCTTCTCGGACTTCTTACAATAATCTGGCCAGCCGCTCTGGGCCATACTGGTCCATGTACTTCACGGATTGTACAATGCAAAATACTCCATCTTTTTCCAATATCTCAGCTAAGATGAATTTTACCAGCTCCGATTGTAGTGCGACGATCTCCATGTCTAACAGCCTTTCGTGGTTATATTTCTTGCACTGTTGTTCAAAAAAGATGATATCCAAAGAGGAACGGTAAATTATTTTGTTGAATTATTAACAGACATAAATGAAATAGGGATTATACACACCAACTTATCGGCTTCTTCCGATTTCCCGCCGATGTAGCGAAGCATTGCCCACATTACATAAAACCCGCATTCATTGTTTTCCGCCGGCTGTGATAGGTACTTCCCCTCCATTTCGACAACCTTGAATGGGACCTGCGTCCCACCGATATGTCTTCTTCGGAGACTAAGCAACATTAAAGGGAGAAACATTAGAAAGCGGTATGTGTGATTAGAAAATAATATATTATTAGGATCGCTTACCAATTCAGCACTGCCACCAGTGCATCCAGATGATGAAATGGTTTTTTCTTTGAGTCCCACACCTCGATCAGATTTTTAGCAAGATTGACACAAATGAAGATGAAATGGTTGCTGCAATCACATAATCCTAATTATCGAATAATCTTAATGTAAAAAGAAGCATAAAATTAAAAACCGAGAACACATACTCACAGTTGTAGGCTAGAAGTATATGGGTTTTGTCCTTCATCGTGAATTAGTCGAAAACAGCAATCAATCTCTATTTCAGGTCTTCCACGTCACATCCATGGAGGCTTAGACATGTCCTCTCATTGACTCGCAATGGGTCCAAGAAGCCTATGTAATCCCATTTGCTTTTTAGAATGCAAAATTTTGCTATACACCTACATAAAATCATGGGAAGTGCTCAAAAGTTAACAATTTGTGTCTCGAGAGAGTAATTAATTGTAATATCGTGCGTGTAGGGTACTTACATAGTCCATAGCGTCAACATTTTGAACATCGAGAGAGCATTTACGGTATAGTTGGAACAAGCACTCCCACTTGACATCGAACTTCTCTTCTTCAGATAATGGAAAACATGTGACGAACGGATAATAACCTCAAAACCAAAGTCGTCCATCTCTGTTGCTTGAGCCATGTAATATTCATGTAACTGGCGCATATATGTTGTCAGATTTTTATACTCATGATCGGGAACCAAAATATTGCCCCTTTCATACTTCATTGCCGGTGTTCCCGTCCCTTGTACATCATAATAGATGTTTGTGGCCTCTTCCATAATAGATGCACGTGCAAGCCTAAGAAAAAGTTTGAGACCAATACGACACCGGAATGCCTATGAACCACATAAACCTTGATAACCTATGTGTATAGTCATGGTTCGATAAAAGGGCACATGTACCTCTATGAAGCATGTATACTCCGCCAATGTCGAAATGGCTTGAAATTTTTTTGGCAAGCATGTACACCCAAATTAAGACCCCACACATGATCTGAGGTTTTTCTGATTAGTTTTTTTATTTATTATATTTTTCTCTGTGCTGAATGAGACAAAAGAGGGTGAATTTCATCTTGGACCCAATAGATTTTGTCATCCACCTCCACAAAATTCTTATCCCTAGGGCACATTAGAGCCTGTGTAAAAGTTTGGCACCATTCCGGATCTTTTCGTGGATAAACTCAGTTCAACCTATAATTAAACGGTCTCGTCGCGCGAAAATTCAATTAAACCTCAGAAAGTAGCAAACCATCTCTGGAAAATCCCAAACTTAGTGTTTCCTTTACACGTGGCACGTGCAAGCCTAAGAAAAAGTTTGAGACCAATACGACACCGGAATGCCTATGAACCACAGAAACCTTGATAACCTATGCGTATAGTCATGATTCGATGAAAGGGCACATGCACCTCTGTGTAGCACGTATACTCCGCCTATGTCGAAATGGCTTGAAATTTTTTTGGCAAGCATGTACACCCAAATTAAGACCCCACACAAGATCTAAGGTTTTTCTTATTAGTTTTTTTATTTATTATCTTTTTCTCTATGCCGAATGAGACAAAAGAGGGTGAATTTCATCTTGGACCCAATAGATTTTGTCATCCACCTCCACAAAATTCTTATCCCTAGGGCACATTAGAGCCTGTGTAAAAGTTTAGCACCATTCCAGATCTTTTCATGGATAGACTCAGTTCAACCTATAATTAAACGGTGTCGTCGCACGGAAATTCAATTAAATCTCAGAAAAGCAGCAAACCATCTCCGAAAAATCCCAAACTTGGTGTTTCCTTCACACGTGGAACGTGGAAGCCTAAGAAAAAGTTTGAGATGAATACGACACCGGAATGTATATTTCTAGTTGCCCAACAAATGTTACACAAATTACATGCATGACAATAATTAAACACACAAAGCCGTACAAATTAAAATTAGAACCCGATTAAACTACGACCTTGAAAACAACCTAATAAACATTAATTACTATCGGAATCATTGCCGGGTTCGATCAGGCCACGCACACTAACATGCTTCTGTAGCCATATATTGTAATTGATGTCACAGATTATGTATCCACTTGTATCGATGAAGTCCAATGCTCGTATGAGTGCACTCTCTCGTGCCTCACAATACCGAAAGAATGGTCGGCGACTCCCCACACGACTCCGAGCATCGGCCCCGCTCTTCCCCTGGACTCGGCGCGATGCGGCCCCACGACTCCGGCATCCATCAGCGCCACAATCCTTGGCGGGAGGTGCGCCATTATCATGGCTATTTGGTATTATCATGACAAAACTGCTGATGTACTTGCAAAAAGAATTCTGTTTTTTTTGCAACGGTATTGTTTGGATTGCAAACCATAGCTTTTGCCTCGTTTTATATTCAGCTGTGACAAAAGGGCAACGGCTGGAAGATGCAATGCAAGATCAGGAGAAATGAAAGTGACAAGATGCTCTAGCCCTTGTTGTTAGCTGCCTCCAGGATTTCTCAACTTTTGTAGAGTTGGTCTATACACTAGAGTTGGTGAGCCTGCGACGCCGAGCTCTCCGTGACTGTGTTAATTTCACAAACTTTGCTTTATGGATTAAATGTCACTTTAACGTCGATATTTATTTTCACAGTATTGTTATCTTATCATGTCATCCGTATGTTTTTTAGTACAAAAGTTTAGCTGTCCCGTAGCAACGCACTGGCACGCTACCTAGTCATCTATAAGAATGACAAATGCTGCTCGGTGTCTCTATGGTCAACACCTTTTTCCATACAACAAAAGCATGCATGGGCTTCAAACTACCAAACCGCACAAGTCTATACCATTTCTTTCTCTATGCATGTGACTATGCCAGTCCACACACATGTTTATGGGCCTGACTTTCCAAGTGACATTCCACACGTCTATATGATATAGACACGACATTCCAAGTGATACGTGTAAGTCAACGCATGTATATACCATGTTGTTGATGCCGATTCCGGTCACACACCGGCAGGTGTTACATCGTCTGAGGACACACACAGCCTAGATACGCAGGGAAGGTTTATGTACATTGGCGGTTTGCTACATTTACACTGGCGGCACGGTAACGAAAACCACCTGTGTAAATACACTGTTAACACTGGCGGTTTTCATAGTGAAACTGCCAGTGTAAATCGGTTTACACAGGCAGTTTTTAGCCTAGGCCCACAGATTTTACACTAGTGGAGCCTGCTCATTAGGAACTGCCAGTGAAAAAAATGGGCACCACCAAGAAAAACCGTCATTGTACTAGTGGGAGGTCCCAACGGTGAGACGACTAGCAGATCGACGAGGCCAATTAGATGGTCGTTCTTTGCCCAAAAAACGCACGAATGCCTCTGGAGGAAGACCCATCGGGGAGACACATATAGGGTCCTAGAATCGGTAAGGACACATAGGGTCGAGAGACATACCGGACAGTAAGGTGGTTCGTAGAGCTTGTGGTAGAAGATAAAAAGTAGTACTAAATTGATTTTGACAATTGGGTCTTGATCCCTCGATCGGCCATCACTTTTATATTTATAAGACAGCTAGTCTTTGGGTACATATACAATAGCGAATTAAATCTATACCTAATATTAAAGCGGTAACATTTCTCTCTCAGTTTTTCATCCACCTCTCCCAAGAGTGAGGGAAGTCTTATGGAGAAAGGCCCACGTCTGTGGGGAATCTTCTCAAGGTATTGATTTTTCTCTAACAATCTAGATCCTTTCAGCATCCCACACCACATATGTTGGCTGAGATTAACATAGAGACTTGAATAGAGGCATGCAGGATGCCCACCTTTGAAAATAGTATTTGCATTGACAAGTCTCTGGTAATACTTTTCCTAGCAGTGGCTTCATAGCAGCAGCAGCCACCAGGGTTCATCTATTAATACGGTGGATAGATGCTGATCATTCACCAACTTCTTGATTGCCCAGTATCTCTACTAGTTTCAGAAGGCGAGAGAGAGGACCAGGGATTGATACTTCGACGGAGGAAGAGCCTGGCCCCGATGGCGCAGCTGGTATGGTCGACTGCAACACAGCCACACGTCGGTTTTCTCTGGCGGGGGGCTGAGGGAAGGCGTCTGCCCTTCAGGCACCTAAATGCTCGACGACCACGTCTAGGTGTGTGATCAATCAATTATTATTCAAACAAATTAAAGACGCAAGCCGGCCATTGGTTGGCCACTCGTTAGTTCCTCCTGTGTTATCGATGTTTCACGTCGACCTGCTCCGATTCCTATCACATCACCGCTTGCCGCTTGGCCCACAAAGACTATTCTGTAATCTTTCTTTCTTTCTTTTTTTCTTTCTTTCTTTCCTGAAGCTTTGTACCTGTACTATTTACTCCTTCATGTCTTAATTTAGTTCTCTATTAGTAGGGGCCTGTTCTCTCAAAAAAATGATCTCCTATTTCAAATTATATGTGTTCTGATTTTTCTAGACACATAGTTTTTAATTACTATATATTAGACATGACATATATCTAGGTTCATAGCAAAAGCTATGTATCTAAAAAAAATTGAATGAATTACAATTTAAAACAGAGGGAGTATTGATTTATTTTCTAAATGGCCAAACACTCACTACTACAAAAATGATTTGTGGCAACGCCTCCATTTCTTTTTAGGGGCAGCTCTATATATTGAGCTGCCCCTATAAATGGTTACCAAATGAGCCGCCCTTACAAATAAATTTGTAGGCGCGGCCGGTGTTATCAGCCGCCCCAACAAATGGCCCGATTTATAGGGGTGGTTCTATATCCAGCCGCCCCTACAAATCAGATTTGCAGGGGTGGCTCAATATTGAACAGCCCCTGCAAATAGACACCGAGTATTAAAAATTAAGCACTAAAATTCAAATTTTGTAAACGATCTCGGATGGAGAAACAACTAAAATGAAAGTTGTAGATCTCGAAAAGTTATGAAACTTTGTAGTTGACAAATTTTTGATTTGAAATCATCTTGTCAAGGAAAACTACATTTGAATTTTCAAAAATTTGAAATTTTAATTTTTGAAATGACCTCGGATGGACAAACAGTAAAAATGAAAGTTATATTAAAAAGTTATGAAACTTTGTAGTTGATAACTTTCTCATTTGAAATCATCTTGTCATGGAAAACTATGTTGGAATTTCTCAAATTGGAAATTCAAATTTTATAAGTGACCTCGGATGGAGAAACTACCAAAATGAAAGTTGTAGATCTCGAAAAGTTATAAAACTTTGTAGTTGACAACTTTTTCATTTGAATTAGTTTAGGGCATCAAACAATCAATTTATGCCCAGTTTTGTATAATAGGTGGGGAGCCAAAATGGATTGTAGACACAAGTGATCTTGAGGTGCAGTGGTAGAGGAGCTTGCGCGCGAGGGAGAAGTTGCGGGTTCAAATCCCGGTCGACGTAAAGTGTGCAAAAATCATGAAAAATGTTGCAACCATAGAGTGGGTGTGTGGCTGCTGGTGGGGACCTCCTCGGATTAAAAAAATTTACTATATTTTCCCTTTTTTCGTGATTTTTGTAAATTGATTTGTAGGGCGGCACAATATCTGAGTCCCCCCTACTTGTAGGGGCGGTCTGGAACCGCCCCTACAAATACATGATTTGTAGAGGCGCTTGGGTAGGGGCGGCTGGGCAAACCACCCCTACAAAGCCTCTAGAGCCGCCCCTACAAATACTATTTCACGTAGTCACTAACACTAGTGGAGAAATAAGATCTAGTCCCGGTTGGGAACTAGCTCTACTCCTGGTTTCCCAACCAGGACTAGCAATCCGGGACTAAAGGTTGGGATCTTTAGTCCCGGGCACATAACCGGGACTAAAGGTCCATCCCAAGAGAAAAAATAAACGAAATACTAGGAAGACCTCTCTTGCGGTGTATGAGATTCGAACTCAAGACCTCTCTCCTCGTGCATAAACTCCTTACCAACTCAGCTATACACCACAAGTGACAGAGTCCTGGACACTCTCCTTTTGAATTGACCCATGGAATACCTTTAGTCCCAGGTGAAAGACCTTTAATCCGAGTTGGTGATACCAACGGGGACTAAAAGGTTGACCTTTAGTTCCGGTTTTAGGCTTCAACTGGGACTAAAGGTGGCATGCTGCGAAAGCCTGCCAGGACAGGAGCCTTTAGTCCCGGTTGGTAGCTCCAACCGGGACTAATTCTCCCTCTACTCCCGGACGCAAAAAATATCGAGACTAAAGCCCAAAATCGAAGTAGATGAAAGGTCGTTTCTCTACTAGTGTAATCATACTGGGTAGAGATGCTAATCATACTAGTAGTGAATGGGGTAGTCGTTAAGTATTCCTTATGCTAATCATACTATTCCAAAATGCTGATCATACTAGCTAATCATATATACTACGCCAAATGCTAATCATATCAGCTTTCAGATGCTTAATCGTACTAGTATTCCTGGATGGTGTTGCGTTTTTTCCTCCTTCAAGGTGTTGCGTTGGAGGACCCAATGGTGTTTCCAGTGTGTCTTCTCTTGCGGTGTTTCAATATTCAATTGTGCACCCAGGGATGCGCTGATTTATTTTATTTGGCTTTTGTATAGAGATGCTCAATCATGGCTCAACTGAATAACGATCTTTTGGTCAGCCATATCGATCGTCATTTGTCATTGCTGGTCAAGTTCAGCTTGTTGATCAGTTGGCAAATGGCAGCCAGTGCACTTGAGAGACATGTGATGAGAGATGGTTTAGATGAACTATTCATCAGTTTCTTTTTAAAGGGATGCCAGTGTTTTTCTGGACATTGGCCATCTCACTTTACGGTACATGAGAATAGCTTGTCAAGATTAATTTGTAGTTCGATCATAGAGACTGACAGGTGGTTTGAGTTATATATGTTGATCGCGTAAAGGCATAATGGGTCTTATTCTTGTTTCTTTTCTCCTTCTTCATTTGTTTTCGATCTGTGTACCTAGCTGAGTACAACGTTTGAGTGGAGAGGCCCGACAGTATAACATTTCGAAATAATAATTCTTTTATTTAAAACCCATGTTTTTAATCATGTCTTATTATTAGGGTGCCTCATGGAGCCCATAAAGGTTGAAGCACTGAAAGCAGTTAGTCGTGATGGACTTCTCCCTGACACTACTCGTGATGGACTTCTCCCTGATACACGACACAAGGTGAATATATATTACTCCCTCTTCCTGGAAATATAAGATCCATCTATTCATTAAAAACTATTAATCTCACAATATAAGGATATAATTTTTTTGACCAACAATTAATCTCATAATATAAGGATATTGATTGTTTCCATAGTGGTTGGTGAAAACATGGGCTATCCGGGATCTAAGGGTGAAAAAATAGAAGGTACTAAAAAGAATGTACTTAGAAGTAACAAGTGGGTAGGAAAATGATGGGTCCAGTACCAATTTTATTTTATTTTATTTTTTATTCTCATATGAGGGCAGATTTGTACATTCACTTTATTAGTTAGATTTCTTTTTAAAAATGGGATACAGTTGCTTTCCTCTGTGCCTCGACTCTCTACCCTGATCCCTGGACACCTGACCTGAGTACCTGACTTCTACCATCAGATCAGGGTTTCTCTACCATTGGTCAAACACTAAGCACGCTAGCTCATATTCGATCAAAGGCATGAGAAGATGATCAATCCATCACCAATTCACCGTTGCCCCTCTGGCAAATATCAAACTAGATAAGCATGAAAAAAGTTTTAAAAATGTAACATCAGTGTCGTTGATACCGGCAACAGGGGCGGCAGGACATTGTTAGCATGGCTAAATGAGCGATAGCCTCAAAAATCATGTTAGTGTGTTAGTAGTCTGTCACCAGATCCATTGGGATCTCATGGATAGTTGCATTGGGGATGCTTTGCTTCCATATCTAATGTCGATGCCGCCACGGTCCCGTTCATAAGGAGGGTGAAAGATTGGGGGCATGTTTTGGGATGGAGCGCGCAAGTGTCATTGAGGGGAGTTCCATTGCCTAGATGAGGACCCCAAGAAAGATGGTCATGGCTGGTGCCGCCTCGATGTCCTGCTCACTGTAGGCCTTGAGGGAAACAAGATGGGACATGCACACAAAAAAACTCGACCTACGGGGTAAGATAGCCCCCAAGCATTGCATTTAGAAGAATACCTTCTCACATAGGTCGAGAAACTGCCGAACCCTAGCCCCACCTATACACAGCAGCACCGTAACCCATGTGAGAACGGCCAGGACCGTGACCGGGCCTTAGACCTGTGCTTTGACGTGGGACAAATGAGCGGATTTTTTTAACCCCAGCCTGAAACTTGCTCTCACGGGGAGTCCACCACAGGACCTGAGAAGTGCTACTCAAGCCACCTAACCAACTTAGTTAGAGGCCCTTTCACAGATGGGACATGAACACACCAGAGCTGCTGCCAACAATGATGCTGACATTAACTGGACGGGATTGCTGGCCAAGCTCCAGCGTCAAGCAGATTAGGGCGGTGTCACCGGGAATCAAACGTGGTCAGTCCATGCTAATGATTACGTGAGATGGGGTCTTGCGGTGAATAATGTCAAAAAGGTTATGACAGGGACAATTACTATAATGTCCTTAATTAAATAAATATTATTTTACTAATTACTTTCTAGTTCAACGGCCAGCAAGATTCACAAGCAGAAGTACTCAAAAGTACCAGCTTCCTCCTGCCAACCACTGTACAAGGCCCTAAGGATTTGTGTCATAAAATTTGTAGTACCTTTGGTTCACATTTATGTACATATGTGGTTTATTGTGATTATAATTTTGTAACTATATTTCAGCAGAAATGCTGTAGGAGAACGTTAAGCTCATAATATAATCTTACTTTCTCGAGGGTTAAAGTGCCACATATGTTTTGCAATCAGGAGACTATAATTATTTTGCAATGTACCTATATGTAACAATGTGGAATCACATCATTTGGACAAATATATTTGAGTGTTTAACTGAACTCATCATTTACGGAATCTTCTTAAAGGATAAACAAAGTGGCGTGCCCGAAATGATTAATGCCATCCGAGCAGGGCTTCGATCAATGGGCGAGGGTGAGATCAACGTCTCAGCATATGACACAGCATGGGTTGCCCTTGTGAAGAGCTTGAATGGAGATGACGCACCGCAGTTCCCCTCGTGCATTGATTGGATTGCTCGGAATCAGCTGCCAGATGGATCATGGGGTGATGACATGTTCTTCCTTGTCCAAGACCGGATTATCAACACCCTCGCCTGCATCATCGCACTGAAATCATGGGATGTCCACGACTATGCGTTTAAAAAAGGTAGTCTTCCTCACAGATTATAGAGAGCTCATACATTCTAAGAGCTAATTTTGAACAAGAAATAGATCAACAATGCATGTTGGTTAATTGGCACAGAAATGTTTAAAGTTTTGTTTTCAATAAGGTCAAACAGTATAAATTTTTTTAGATTGTACAAAATATTTTTGTGATGAATTGCATCATATATTCATAGAGCACATGTATTCTTAATGAAATGTCAAATTGTTTGGGAATTTTACAGTTTGGAAAAATTAAATTAGTTATTGTATCACTACTACAGATAGTTCATCAACGCTAGTTCCTATACCCCTATCATCGCCGACTTGACAATCATATATTATCATCAACGGTTTTAACAGAACCGGCAGTGAAAATACAATTAGCAAAAATCATTTGTGCAGTAATGTATAATATCGCAATGTTGGGGTTAATAAGCTCTGTCAAGTGTAACGATTACTTAAAATGATCAAATAACTAAGAAAACTCGAAAGAGGTTACCTATTAACAAGTGATCTAAGATACTTTATAGTGAACATCCTTGTTAATATCCATGCCACGAATTTTTCTTGTTGTAGGTCTATCATTCATCTCCGAAAATATGTGGAGGGTAACCAAGGATGATGAGAATTGGACGCTATCTGGCTTCGAGATTATCTTCCCTATGTTGATAGAGAAGGCCAAGGACCTAGGCATCAACATACCTTTGGATGATCCCACTTTGGAAGCAATATATGCCAAAAGAGAACTCAAGCTCACTAAGTATGTACCATTTAAGACGGCGCATGCCAGATCCATCTTTTTCTTCCCTCTTATTTTTTCAAGGAACAAATTGTTAACTAGGAAGTTGCATATTATTGCATCCTTATATGCCTTAATGAAAACTAATTGAAAATGCAAATTTCACGGACATGGAGGCTATATGGCTCTCTAAATGTTGGCTATTACCAGCACATCATGATTCTACAACCCTTAATTGATTGTGAAACGAAAGGGGAATTAACTATATTTTTTACACCTATACTCAGTGCACGCTCCCTTGTTGAAATGAGGTTCTTTTATCCAAATAAAAAATAACAAAAAGCTTGACCCTCCGCCAGTCATCCTTCTACGTTGTCTAGAATCTATATTTTCTCAAAGAGATACTCTCTACGTTGTCTAGAATCTATATTTTCTCAAAGAGATACTAGTATTTGGAAACTGGATGTTCCAGTTAAATTTGAAAAAAGGGCTCTATCATTGCACGCATGGGGTTCTATACAAGTAGTAAGAAACATCTAGAACTCTTTTGGGACGTGGAAATAACACGGAGTTGAATTCCTTAAGACAACCTCAACTTTAGAAATCCATGTCCATGACTTAGAATTTCCAACGAAATCCACGAGAACCTAATATTAGTATGACATATCTCCAAATTGGACCTCAACGTGACTGGTGTCATTATCTACAGCAAAATAATTTATCAGTATGTTCTGTTGGATACATATTGATTGCCATGTTTATCTGTAGGGTTCCGAGAGAAGCAGTCCATGCTGTACCAACAACTTTCCTTCTAAGCTTAGAAGGAATGCCAGGTTTGGACTGGAAAATGCTACGTAAGCTCCAGTGTCCAGATGGCTCCTTCATGTCTTCACCTGCTCCCACCGCTTACGCTCTAATGCAGACTGGAGACCCTAAGTGCTTTGAGTTCCTTGATAGATTGGTTGGCAAGTATAACGGAAGCGGTATGAAGACTTCATCTGTCTTTTTACATGCATGACATTTTTACCTTACAAAAATGTTTCGACAATTTGAGGATTTTAATAAGACAACTAGATATCCCTACATCATTTAGGGTTCACCGTAATGTCCCCGTCACAAATAAGTGACATTTTAATTAGGACTGTGCCAAACGTACCGTGCCTTTTTATCTTTGATCATCAAAAAGCATATTTATAATATAAGATTAGTATATTAGTAGATTTATCATAAAAAATAGTTTCATAATATACTATTTCATTGTAACAAAATACATTTTTACAAATATTGCTGGTCAAATTAATGTCAACAAAGTTTTACTTCAAACAATCCTAGCTAAAACGATACTCTTGTTTGTGCCTAGAGAAGTATTTTGCATGATGTTCCAAAACAAATGTGCCTCATTTGTAATATAATTCCTTTTCAGTACCTTTTGTTTACCCTATTGAGATGTTCGAGCGCTTGTGGATTGTGGACCGGTTGGAGAGGTTGGGCATATCACGTTATTTCAAGAGTGAAATTGAGGACTACTTGGAGTACGTTTACAGGTAACTATTAGTTCATTGCCATTTTATATTCCGGGTATCTAATAATCTACTGTAAAAATAGTACTCTAAATACGATAGGTATATTCATATTGAGTATAGTCTCATGCCATAAAATAGTGGATGGAGTAGTAGATTGTATTCATCAGGAGTGCATTCTTCTTTTAACATAACAGGCACTGGTCCGACGAAGGCTTGTCATTTACGAAGGGCTGCCCCGTGAAGGACATCGATGACACGGCCATGGGTTTCCGTCTCCTCCGACTACATGGCTACCCGGCCTCTCCTTGTAAGTACTGGTACTAGTATATATATTGTGTGTGTGTGATAAGTAGGAGCAGTTGCAATATATAATATCGTATGAAATTTGTATTTGAACATCCATGAAGGTGCATTCAAGCGATTCGAGAATGACGGCCAGTTCGTGTGCTACCCAAGGCAGTCGAACCAGTCGGTAAGCGCGATGTATAACCTGTACCGAGCTGCCGACCAGGCCTCGTTTCCCGGCGATGGTCACGTCCTCGGACGCGCCAGGAGCTACAGCCGTGCGTTCCTCCGGGAGAGGCGAGCCTCGGACCAGCTCAACGACAAGTGGATCATCTCTGAGGGTTTGCCTGGCGAGGTAAGTTAGCTGGCTTATCAAATCCAAATGTATGTGCGCACTATAGCACGTATACACACTTGATCATGAGACCCCTTCTTGCCACCATCAGGTCATGTACGGTCTGGATTTCCCTGGGAAGCTAGCTTGCCACGCATCGAAACAAGAATGTATCTGGAGCAATACGGTGGAAGCGACGACGTGTGGATCGGGAAGGTTCTCTACAGGTATCTGTATATATATACAATATATGTGTAGTATATATATATACAGTTATATATGTGTGCATATAGTCAGTGATCAGAAACTCCAACGAAGCGTAACTAGGCATAAGCATCCATGACACTCCCAGTTTGTCCCCTGCAGAATGAACCTCATTAGCAACGACGCGTACCTCAAGGCGGCGAAAGCCGATTTCAGCAACTTTCAGAGACTATGCCGATTAGAGTGGCTCAGCCTGAAAAGGTATAGTAAGGACGACACCTCCTCTCCTTGTTGAGCACTTATGATTGACAATCGAAATTAAAGGTGGAAAATTACCGTATGGGATTTGATTTGAGGTAGCGATTACACGCAGGTGGTGTGACGAGAACAATCTTGAAATGTACGGCGTGACTCCGCAGAGCGCGCTGAGAGCCTACTTCCTTGCCGCGGCCAGCATCTTCGAACCAGGCCGAGCAGCAGAGCGCCTGGGATGGGCGCGCGCGCGCGGTGCTCGCCGAGGCCATCTCCGGGTGCTTGCTGATGAGCAGCAACACTCATGACGATCGGACGGTGACGGCCGAATGGCTCATCGATGAATTCGTCAACAGCGACGATGAGAAGCCGGCAAGGTCGGTCGGCGTTCTCTTGCCTTAATTGAGTCACTCCTAGCTCAATTCATTGCGTTTCTAAAATCGGTTCACCGCGTTACCGGCTTACCTGCCGGTGGTGCAACTTGTGTGGGCGCAGTGGAGGAGGGAAGAAGAATTCACAAGTTACTAGCAGCCTCGCCTATGCTCTTCGTGACCTTATTGACATCCATGCGTCCGACGACGCTTCTGTCGCTGACTGCCTTCGTGGAGCTGTAAGAAAATTGACGACTCATTCAACCATTTACTCTCTTCAAATACAATATCATAGAGTGGATTAATCTGTTTTGATGATCACAGTGGAAGGAGTGGTTCATGGCATGGACGAAAACGGAGAGGGAAGGACCACGCTCAGCGGATACAGCACTGTTGCTAGTTCGCACAGTCGAGATTTGTTCAGGAAGGCACCACTCCACCGAACAGGACCTGAAGCTTCTACCTGATTATTCGAAGCTCGAGCAGCTCACCAGATCCATCTGCTGCAGACTGGCTACTGAAGCTCCTGCTCTGGTACGGCCATGCATCGTCGCAAAAGTATTTACATACGTGCATGCATCCTTTTTGTTTTTTATAAAAAAATTGAATCTGGCTTGATCCCTTAGAACTAAGGGAATCAGATCACTTATTACAGAAGATTAAACTAACATAAAACATGTCTAATTAAAACTCAATTCTAAAATTATTTAGCTATACAAAGGAAGCAAAGAAATGTATAGTTGCCAGTTCTAGCTCCCGGCACACTTGGTGAATATTTTCTTTGTTGTCATGACACAATTGTAGCTGTGCCCAATGTCACAACAAGTGCTTTCCCATCAACAAGACCTGTAGAAAAGTTTTAGTTTAGCATTTTTTCAAAAACAACTTTGTTCCTTGTAAGCCATTTTTTTCTGGAAGCAAATGGCTACACGTCCTATTAACAACAAAGATTTGTTTATCCCACGTCCTTGCTTGTACCATCTATAAAAAAGGTCAGTAACATCCAAAGATAGTCTTGAGCCTAAAACAATGTATACCGCACGCCAAAGAAACTTCGCATAAAGGCAGTCAAAAAACAAGTGTTGAATTGTTTCATTCTTGCAACAGAAAAGGCACCAGATATATTTGGTTTCCAATTTTTCCTTGCTAACTTATCCAATTTTAGAGGCAGCCTCACACGCTAAACATCCATAGCAGCTTTGCTCCCTGTGTTGACAAGATGTCGATACATGGAATTTACTATGAATGAACTTCGTTAGGTTTCAAAAGCCAAAAGAATGTATATCTTTCATCATATAAATTAATGTCCGCAACCCTTACTCCAAGGCTATTCCACTCCAGTATTCCTACAGTAATGCCCTTCAAAACGTAACATTAAGAGGAACCATACTTAAAGTTTGTGCAACCATACCATGCTTTTGACGGACAATATTAAAATGGATTGGATTCCATTTTAAGCGGATGTCTGCTCAGTCAAGTATCTTCCCAGAACCTGATTTGGGAACCATCATCCAATTTGGGAACCATGCATCCTCTTTGTACTGTATGATGTTTGATAATTATTGCATTGCTTACCGAATCAAACGTTGGATGATCAACCAGACTGGAGAAAACATGGACAAGATTGATGAGCTGGATAGGAATGTTGGATTCGAGATGCAAGAACTGGCTCAATGTGTTTTCCAGAGATGCAGCTCCATCAACAGAGTGACAAGGCAGACGTTTCTCCATGTGACGAAGAGATACTACTATGTCGCACTCTGCTCACCTGAAACAATTGAACATCACATCTCCAAGGTTATATTTGAGGATGTTGTTTAGCAATAATATCTAAGCCCCAATTCTTCTGTACTCCCTCCATTTCAACTTATAAGTCATTCCAACTTTCTTGGAGAGTCAAAGAATCTGAAGTTTGAACTAAATTATAGAGAGAATTACAAAGATTTATGACATCAATTAGGCATTACAATGAAAATATAATTAATGAAGAATCTAATAATACTTATTTGGTTTCATAAATATTATTATTTTATTATATAAACTTGGTCAATCTTAGATGCTTTGACAGTATAAGAAAGTTAAAATGACTTATAATTTAGGATGGAGCAAATATGTCCTTATGCATGAAGACGTCACACAAGTCCTTTTTTATTTTTATATTAGTGGATATATATGCTTGTGCGGCAGTGGCGGCGGCAGGGGTATGCCCCTGTATTCCATGGAATACCCAAGATTTGTGACAAAAAATAAATATGTATACACAGATTTATATTGATATTAGTATATTCTTGTTATATTGTGCAAATATGGCTCATAGGCCCAATCCGACAACCAATTCCGGCAACCCACGAAGGAACGAAGCCCAGAAAGGCAGAGACCATCACCTTTCCTGTCCGTGACTCCATCCCGTGACTCCCATCTTCCATCACATTGAGTGACGCGGAACACGGAGCACCGAGCGTGGACACGGAAGCTCACGCGGCCGAGCGCCGGGCACCGTCTAGTCTACTTCATTAGTGAGGTTCTTAATGAATCCAAAACTCGTTATCCTCAAGTTCGGAAGCTATTATATGCCATTTTGATCACATCGCTCAAGCTCCGTCATTACTTCGAGTATTACAACATCGCCGTGGTCACCGAGTTCCCTCTAGGGGACATCCTCTGTAACAAAGAGGCCAATGGCCACATCATCAAGTGGGCTGTCGAGCTCGGCACTTACTCCATCGAATTCAGAAAGCAGGCCTACCATTAAGTCACAGGCGCTCGCTGACTTCGTCGCTGAGTGGATTGAAATCCAAGAACCCATACCCGCTACTTGCACCGAGCACTGGGTGATGTACTTCAACGACGTTCTCAACATCAACGGTGCTGGTGCTGGCATTTTATTCATTACGCTGACCAAGGACAAGCTCCGATACGTCCTCCAAATACATTTTTCGGCCTCCAACAACGCCGCGGAATATGAAGCATGTCTCCATGGACTCCGTATAGCCATCGAGCTCGGGTCAAATGCCTCATGGTGTACGGAGACTCTGCGCTAGTCATCAACTAGCTCAACAAAGCTTGGTCTTGTTCCAGTGAGAAGATGGACGCATACTGCGCTGAAATCATAAAACTTGAAGGGAAGTTCTACGGTATCGAGTACCACCACGTGGTACGAGACAAAAATCAGCTCGCTGACCACCTATCCAAGATAGGCTCCTCTCGCGTCGCGATTCCACCTGGGGTCTTCGTTCAAGACCTTTTTGTGTCGTCCACTAAGGAAGAGAAGGAAGTTCAAGAAATCCCCCCTGCCGAGCAGCTAGTGCTTACAGTACCTTCGCTGACCGCTGATTGGAGGGAACAGTTCATCAAGTACCTCACTAGCGCCACATACCCGCCGACAAGACCGAAACTGAATGCCTAATCCTTTGTAGCAAACATTACATGCTGGTAGATGGGAACTTGATGAGGAAAAATGCCAAGGAAGGGATACTGCAAAAATGTATCACCCAAAAAGAGGGAGTGATACTACTTCTTGAAATGCACTCTGGTTCCTGTGGCAATCATGCGGCCTCGAGCAACCTAGTCGGCAAAGCTTTCCGAGCTGGTTTTTATTGGCCCACGGCCATCGTCGACGCAGAAGACCTCGTCCGACGTTGTGAAGGATGTCAATTTTTCGCCAAACAGATACATGTACCGGCGCAGGAATTGTAGACCATCCCAGCTTCTTGACCTTTCGCATGCTGGGGACTAGATATGATCGGGCCTTTCAAGCCTGCACCAGATGGTTTCCGGTACATTTACATCGCCATTGACAAGTTCTTCAAGTGGATCGGATTCAAGCTGCTTGTTTCGGCCACTGCAAAAAAAACAGTCGAGCTCTTCAAAGATATCATCCATAAATTTGGTCTCTCGAACAGCATTATCACCGACCTCGGAACCACATTCACTGATCATCATTTTTGGGACTTCTGCGAAGGCCGATGCATCTCCGTTAAATACGTCTCGGTTGTCCATCCTAGAGCCAATGGCCAGGTCGAACGGGCGAACGGCATGATCCTCGATGCCCTCAAAAAGAGACTATACTAGAAAGAGGAAAAGCATCTGGGCAGATGGCTCAAAGAGCTTCCAGCTATGGTCTGGGGACTGCGCACTCAAGCTAGTCGCAGCACCGATGTGTCTCCATACTTCTTGGTCTACGGCTCAGAAGCCATACTTCCAGCGGACATTGCCTTCCGAGCACCTAGGGTGGAACATTACAATGAAGAGCAAGCCGCAGCTGTTCGAACAGAGGATGTCGATAGGGCCAAAGAAGAACACCTGATCACTTGCATCCGCACAGCCAAATACTTGGAAGGCCTGCGAAGATACTACAATCGCAACATCAAAGGTCGTTCATTTGCTGTCGGCGACCTCGTTCTCCGTAGAAAACAGAAAACTGAAGGGTTGCACAAGCTCTCCTCCCCCTAGGAATGGCCTTACATGGTCAAAGAGGTTACCCGACTAGGGTCTTACCGGCTATGTGACTTGGATGGAATCGATATCCCCAATTCATGGCACATCGAGCACCTTATACGTTTCTATCCTTGAAACACTCCAGATATGTACTCTCCACTCCTTAGTGAATGAAGTTTTTGTCGCCATAACTTGTCTACATTATTTCTCCACTCCGGTTTAATCTCCATTTGCGATCGCCAGCTCTATGCTACTCCGGCTTAAACTCCAATACATGATCTCCATAAAAGCTCCGCTCCATTTCTCCATACTAAAATATCTCTAAGATATTTCACCAACTGCTGAGCAGCACACATTCCACTCTGTGTTCTTTGGAGAAGACCCAATCTCCGATCTCTCCCTACACATGCTATGGGCTCCGCGCTCTGTGTTATGGGTGGTCGGCTGCGGTTCCTCTGTCACATCTATTCCTCCTACACATTCACGGGCTCCGCGCTCGACGTTATGGAATATGGGCTAGCCAAGGCCAAGAGCCCAGTAATGAACTAACTGCTCGGATGCTATTTGTACCACGTATAATTGCGTTAGGGTTACCACTACATCTACTTTTCACCGAAAGTGTTAGCAAGACGCATAATCATGCACATGTCTACAAACAACATTTATACGAATACATAAATGTTCACTTATGCCCTCGTGCATCTAACTATTCTATACAGGTTCCTCTCCGAGCAGGTCATTGCCCTTGGTCTTCACCGTCCACCTCGTTGAATAGATCGACATCGCCGGCCAGCCTTTTGGCTGCGTCCTCCACCTCATCTTCCAGCTGCTGCTGCTTCGTCGCACCCGTCCCTCTAGAGAATCTGGCCCCTATCGCTCGAAGATCGATGGAAGGGTAATGAGACCAGACCCCCGCTAGGGCATGTGTCATGGCGGAGACAGTGGCGTCTCGGTTGAAGCTCTTGAAGTTCTCCCACGCCGCCTTGCATCTATGGATGATGGTGTCCGGATGTGGTTGGCCTATCGTCGGGCTGAGAAGGTACCTCCATGTCGACGTAGTCGAGCACAGGCTTGACCCCGGTGACCACAATGTCAAGTTTCCCCCTTTGGGTTCTAGCCTCCAGCTCTAGCATGTCGAACTCGCCTTGGTCCTTTGATGGTATTCTGCATGCACCAATAGGATCAATCATGTGAAGAAATCACTTCAGCAACAAATTCGACCATGAACTACTCACCTTTCAGCTCCTCAGCTAGTTTCTCCGCTTAACTAGACACCGCCTCCTCCTCCTAGAGTTGACAGATGACCTGGTGCAACCGGCCGAGCTTTGCATCTTGCTCTACAAAAGTGACGATCATCAACATCTAGTTTTTTCGGCAATACAGAGCAAGTTCACCGATCTACAGTACCTTTCTTCTGCTCAGAGACACTGCTCAGCTGCTCGACGATAGTCGTCAGCTGCTCGGATAAAGCCCCCTTTTGGTATTCCAGGCCCCTCGCATTTGATTCGGCAAGATCTCGTTTGCGTTGGGCCTTCTAGACATTCTTCTCCATTAGCTTCAATGCCTCCTTCAGTTTCGCATTCTCCTCGGCAAGGGGCTCCATCCATTTGATCGGCTACTGCTAGTGCACGACAGTTCATGCTATACCTTGTAGAGCACCAAGACTATGAAGAACTCCAATCTCCAACGTCAAAGACGGACATCGTCGATGCAATACTGACCTCGATCTGCTTCATGGCTATGGAAAGGGTGGACCATAGCCTCTTTACCTCACTAGAGGTGTCCTCCTCTTCCACAACCACCACTTCGTCCCCCTGCTTGTGGATAATCCGGATGGCTTGATGTCATGATTCTTCACGCTCAACCTCCTCAACCTCGTCCTCTCTCTCCGCAGCGGGTGGCGCTCTCTGGGGGCTCGGTGTCCGCACAGAGCATCCGACCACGCCCTGCGATGGCTCAGGGTGCATGTTTGCTCCTCTGACACTGCCAACCTTTGTGCCTTAGACTCCATCACGACGTCGATAGCTCCTACTCCTGCCTCTGAAGGTTCGCCGGCTCCCATCGTTGCTCCTAGTGTCTTCATCGCATCGGCCGCCATCGTCGCCAACCGTTCTCCGATGCCAACTCCATCAGTTGTGGTGGTCGACTCCTCCACCTGCCACTGAGCGCCCGGGGACTCCGGGACAGGGTCTGTCGGTGTTGCCTCCACGCCAAGACCAGCCCCCGGCTGCTCGCCAGTATTGCCTGCAGGATTGAGACCCTCCGCGCTCCTCGTTCTGCATTAGATCAGTTCATCAATCGCAGCAACTATAAAGATCGTATAGCCAATGATCCCAAGGCAACAACACTTACACGTCGGACTCCTGGTAGACGGTTCTGAACTG